GTCCCCTGTCACCATAGTACCAAGACACTCAAAGCACATGAAGCCAAATCATCTAAGCAAAAAAAAAAAAAAAAAAAAGTATTGCCTGAGGACTTTCTTTTCTCAAGCTATCATTTAATGCACACCGATTATATAATCTGTAATTTTCTTTCATGGGAACCTAACGTCACTTGTTCATTTGAAAATAGAACACGCTTTTTCAGGAAAAAGACTCTTGTTTATAATAAAAATGATCCTTTGACCTGCTGATAGTCTATTGTAAATAAATGACTCTAATGAAAGAGTTTTCTTCATTTCAGTGCTGTTATTGTGCTGCTTTTCTCTGCAAAAGTATATGTGATAGAACACAGACGTTCACAGGTGCTTCTGTTTTATGTGGTTAAGAACTTCTTGAACACCCAAGGAAGATGGGTGCCTGATAACAGAGCAGAGGGTGTTTATCTCAGCTCCTGTGTACAACTCTTGATTCTTTTTCATTATTCTAATCATTTTTTTTCAATCTTGATATCTTGCATCTACTGATAAGGGAGGAAAGAGAAAAAAAACAAATTATCTCTTGAGCACTTGCCATGTGCCAAGCCCCCTGCCAGATTATTTTACATATATTAAGACAAATTAGAAGCTTCTTTTTAGTTCAGTCCAGGGTTCATGTCTATACAGCAGAGATGTAGAAAACCTGAAGACTTTACATATAAAATCAAGTGCCTCAAACCCAGTTCAGCTTAAGGAACTACCTGTTAATTTCAGTTTTCCTTTGAACAATGAGGGCCTAAATAGTTTTAAATTTCCTAATATAATGGTCAAGTCTATTTCTTAATTCCAGTACAGTTTTCACAGATGGCTTTTGATTTTATGAGTGTAAATATTTGCCAATTATTAATTTAGTTTTAAATATCAAATCATGTAATACTGTTGTCATCATATATATACTTTAGGATCCTTCATTTATCAAAAGGCATTGAACTTTGTATTTAAATAGCCATAACAGAATGTTTTCCCCAGCATAACTAGAGCAGATATATTTTTACAATCTATTAAAATAATTCTTAGTCATTTTGCCTTTGATTGGAATTGTATTTCTAATTGAGAATGAGAATGTATATGTATGTTCATTTTCATTTAAAACTAGAGTAACATTTCATTCCATTA